CCCCCCGCCTTTTCTTTCAGGTCGGGCTCTCTGGCCTTCGCGCCGCTGTGGAGGTTGATCTCGCGCACAAGGCCACGCTGCATCTCCAGCCTGGAGGCGGGTCCTGACCGGGCCCCGGTGGATCAGGTCGGACTTCTCGGCTTTCGCAAGACAGGGCAGGTTCATCGGCAAGGTCCGGTGGGGCATGGAAGTCACGATCTCCGCCCCAGGCCCCAAGTCTGGAGGAGGGCCTTCCGCAGCGAGGACAGATAATCCATGGCGCTTCCCACTCCTCCCGAGCTGTTCTCGGATATCGTCATAGTGGGTGCTTAGATGCTCATCTCCTCTGCTCTCGTCGCTCGTCGCCAAGCGTTCCTGCTCTGGACTGCGCTGCCGCAACTCGCCCTTGTGACTCGCCCAGACTGAACCGTCCTTGACCATGCGTACCACGCATGGTCCCACCCATCTGGACACCGCATGTCACTTGTCTCCGCTGTGTTTCGCCCTGAGCCAATCGCCGCAGGCGCAGGACTGAACATGCACTCGAGGTCGGGATCCATTCGCCAGCGCGCTTGATGGACCCATAGGAGTCCATCTCCATCATGCCTCGATGAGCCGCCTGTCAAAGTCGATGAGCACGCTGCACTTCCGCACCTTGATCTTGGGTGAGTAGGCGGGCGTCCATGCAGTCATTCGAGAACGGACTTCCCGGTAGTCGCGCAGTTGTCAAAACGCCCTTCGCGCTGGAATAACAAACTCCCGACTCTGCCGCCTGGCGCGCCAGGGCCAGCGCCTCCGCCTCCTTCCGAGTCTATGGGGGGGGGGGGGGGGGGGGGAACTCGCGTGCTTTTTCATGCATGGCGTCGAAATGACCCCCAGCTCGCTCCGTCATCGCATTCTTCCACACCGCCCGCGCGTCGATGGTAGACGCGAGGCAGCTATCCGACAGGGTGCCCATGAACTCCTCGCCCTCGTCCACGACCGCCAGAATCTCCAGAAGCCCCAAACGCCCGTGGCCAGCGCCGACAGAAGGCCAGCCACGCGTTCGATGGAGTCCTCTTGTCCTTCGAGACGCTCTGGGACCCCAGTAGGTGGCGTTGAGGGTGCGGCGCCCGCTCCTGGTTGCCTTCCTTGATGTGGATCAGGTTTCCTTGATGGGGATCAGGTCAAAGCTGGCGGGGCTTGGGGGTGGCGCCCGCTCTCCTTGCCAGTGGCCGTGCCCGAGCTCTGCACATATCGCAATCGAACTGCGTCGTCGCCCAGCGGATCAGGTTGGCTCGACCTCTTCCCAGTCGAAGACCACGGCTTAAATCGACCTTCGCAGTGTGCGCCCACTTCTCGTGTAGTTATCGGATCAGTTTCTTCTCCTTCTCCTTGGGCTCCGTCCCGTCGTTGGGCTCCTCCCCGTTTGGTAGCTCTTTGCCTCTGCGTCGTCTCCGCCATCTCCTTCGCCCTCGCCCCCGTCTTCGACGCGCGCACCCTCGTGCCTGATTGCGGGCCACATCCGGCGGGGGCTGGCAGCTTTGGCGCTGGCGGCGGAGGCCAGGGGTCGGTCCGAACCGTCGCCCCCGGCCGCGCTGGCGCAAGCCGTCCGCGACGTGGGCCGATTGCCGGAAAATCCTTCTGGGCAGTCCGACATTCTTCCGCGAGCGGTTCGGAAGAGAGCGCGGACAGACCAGGCAGCAGTTATGGATTCAAAAGCAGGCAGCGCGGGTTCAATTTTGTGGATGGAGGAAAAGCGCTCCGCAGCGCGCCAATGCGATTCAACTGCGGGGTGAAAACTGCTGCGCTTGTGCGCGAGCCGCCCTGGCCGGCGGGTCATTCAACCCTGTCAGCAGTTGCAAGTCTATCCCGCAGCAGCGCTTCTCTGGGACGGCGCTTGTCTCATATTCGTCCAGCGGCGGCTTTGTTGCGCCTGCCTCTTGGGGAACTTGCTGACACGGTGCGAATTGCACGTGGAGCAGACAAGGCATTCGCGTCGCATGTGCGTCCAAAGGTGTGGGCATCGGCAGCTCAAACGAAATTGCCGGCGGATTGGGCCTCGCGCGCAGGGCGTTTTGATTTGGCCGGGCCCTGGGTGGTCTCGCGCCATTTTTGCCTCAGGTATTCTGAAACGCTGTCGCTGGGCTCAGAGCTCGCGCCCTTCCGCTTCAACGGCGAGGGCGGCGATGCAAGTGCGATCCTTACTTTCAGGAGGCGGAGGTGCTACAAAGTGCCGGCGGGTGTCGTGCGCAAGTGCTTGTGTGCTGGTGGGGGGCGGCTGTCGCACGGAGTATGCGCGTTGCGCGAGGCAGCTCAGGCCGCTGGCGCTCCTTTCGCGCGCATCACGTACCCGGAGGCGCTAGCTTTTCAGAAGGCTGCAGCTTCGGCCCCGCAACTACCAGACGCGCAGCATTGGGGCGCGCGCGCTTTCAGGAGAGGCTTCGCGAACGACGCATTGCGTGCAGGTGGCCCCTCTGCGTTGTTCTGGTCAGGGGGCTGGCGTGGCGTGGCGGCGTTTGGGCGCGCCGCGGCCTGGTCTCGCGGGGGGCTGGCAGCGGCCGAGTGGCTCGCGGAGTTTCCCGAGTCCAGTGGGGGCGAAGGTCAGGGCACCGGCCGGCTAAGCCGCAAGCAGCCGGTGTCCAGATCCGTTCGACTGCAGTGGGCGCTCGGAAAAAGGACGTCCGAAGTGCACCGGTCCATGTCGGCCTCGTCGGCAGATCCGCCGCCCATGGCAGCCCCGCTCTGGATGCATTGGGCCATTGGAAAAGTCCAGATTGGGCCAACCTGGCGGCGCCTCGCGTCCTACGCGCACAATGGTGGCGCGGGGGCGCCGGCCACTAGCGTTGCTCAAGGCGCGGTCCGACAGGAATTTCATCGCCCCAAAATCTCGAAGCGATTCGGGGGGCAGGAAAATCCTGGGAGCGGGCTCCTGGGTGGCCTCTTCCCCTCGGGGCCCCTGCAGTCTTCGTTGCTCGCTCTCACTGCTTGGCAGTGCCTTGACGGCGGTGGCCGCTGGCCAGCGGATCTGGCGCGGGGATGCCACGCCCTGCCTCCTTCCGCTTTGTCCTCCGCTTCTGTTGCTGGCGGTTGGTTGGTTGATTGGTTGGCGGGCTTATTGGCCCGCGGGGATGGCCCGCGTGCTCGGGTAGCACCTGCAGCAAGTGCTGTGCTCCTTTGGCCGCAGCGCCGGCTACCGTTCAAACGCCTCAGCGCTGGCCGCTGCGTGGGTCGGCAGTTGCAGATGGGTGTCGCTGGTGCTCTCGTCGCCACTCTGCGTGCTGCCGGTGCTTTCGTTGCCACGTGTGGGGGGTTGGCGCGGCTCGCGCTTGTCTCTCGTTACCCACCCTCGTCCTCCCTGTAGCGCTGCGCGCTGTTTGACGTCGGCGCCCCGTCCAGGCGGGCCATTGGAAAAGTCCAGATTGGGTCAACCTGGCGGCGCCTCGTGTCCCACGTGCCCAATGGTGGCGCGGGGGCGCCGACCACTAGCGTTGCTCAAGGCGCGGTCCGACAGGATTTCTCAGGTAAAGAGATGGAGGAGGAAGGAGTGACCGATGGCGGCGCGCAGAAAGGGGCAATGGAGGAGGGGGGAAGGGTTCTTTTTTTCTCCCCCAGGATTTTGCTAGCAATCAGCCGACAATCGGGGTGTACGCGGTCTCTCCTTCAGAGGCCCACTCGAGAGCCACCCGCGTCTCATGCGCGCTGCAAGCCGCTGCGGGCTAATCATAGAGGCGACGCGACGGCGCAACCATCGAGGCAACGGCCAGTTACCGAGGTAGAGAGGAGGGCGAGGAAGGGGGGGCGGAGGGCGGCGGAGAATGGTGACAGGCCAGCAACGCCGCCAGCATGCCGAATAACTGTCTACCCTCAAGTTGCACCTCAAAGCCCTCGAGAACGACCTAAGCAGGGGTCGGCGGCGTCACATTTCCTTGCTACCCTTCTGCCTGGTCGGCCCCGTTGACCGCTGTGCCGGGGCTCACGCAGATATGCTTCCCCAGGATTCAATGGCCTTCTACGCCCTCGCAACTCTCCTCGCCAACATGGCTCTCGATCGGCTTCTGTGACTGGCGCTCGCCGATGAACTTTCCGACGTCCTCAGGCTTCGACGGGAACTCCACTTTGACCCCCTCATAGGTCTCCTCGACGGTCTGGTCGACGATCTGCTTCTGCGACTCGTACTCGCAGATATGCTTCTCGCCATCCGCTGGCTCCGACGGGGGCTTTTCCTCGGTCATTTCGGTGGTCTCCTCGACGGCCTGGTCCTCGGACTGCTTCTGCACCGCGCACTCGCTGATGAGCTTGCCGATGTCCGCAGTCACCGATGAGAACTTCGTCTTGGCCACCTCGCAGCTCTCCTCGACAACCTGGTCCTCGATCAGCTTCTGCGGCGCGTGCTTGCAGATGGGCTTCTCGACGTCCTTGGTTACCGACGGGACGACGGGGATTCCCCCTAGGCCATCTCGCTGGTCTCCTCGACTGCCTGGTCCTCTGTATCTTCTTCTGCGACTCACATATGAGTTCCGCGACGTCCAGAAACATCGACGGGAACTCCGCCTTGTCCACCTCGCAGGTCTCCTCGGCCACTCAGTCCTCGATCTGCTTCTGCGGCGCGTACTCGCAGATGAGCTTCTCGAAATTTTCAGGCCTCGGCGGGGACACGCAGATCTCGTCGACGGCCTGGTCCCCGATCTGCTTCAGCTGCGCGTTCTCGCAAATGAGCTTCACGACGTTCGCTGAGCTGGGGTATGCCGCCTGCCGCAGCGGGCGCGTGGCCACGGCCGTACCCGCCATCCGTGTCATCTGGCTCTTGTCGCGCGCGCCCGCTGGTCGGGTTGCGCGCTGGGCGCCTAGCTGCTTGAGCCGTGGCGCCTGTGGCCACGGTAGGGGGGGGAGGCTTCTTGGAAGCAGGCTGCTTCTTAGAAGGCGCGGGCCCTACATCTACAGTCAAGGCCAGCGCTCTCTTAGAAGCAGCCCCCCACCCCTCAACCCCCTCCGCGCGTGGCCGAGACCCGCAAGACCCCCCCCGTGCAGAAGCGGGCGGCCTCGCCGGCGCCGACCGCCCGCGGGCGCGCGAAGTCGCCGGGCAGGGCAGCGGCCGCCTCCACCTCTGCGGGCGGCGATTCGGGGGCCGCCGGGGGCTCCCAGCGCGAGCGACGAGAAGACACGGAGACACGGGTCTTCTGCGAGATGAAATCATGACCCTACGCGGGGGCTCACGCGGGCCGCCGGCACGGCATGCTAGATCGGAAGCGAGGGCGCTCACGCGCGATCTTCGGCGAGCAGCTTACGCGCCAACATCGGCGCACTCGACCTCGTTTTCCTTTGTCACTCACGCGTCTGCGCTGCCACGGCGGAGATCAGAGAGGCTGTTCGAGGAACAACATAAGCACAAACTGTCGGAGCTCCGCGCGGATTTCTTGGGTCGGCGCCGGTCCACCCCTGGCGGCGCCTCCGGCGACGCCCCTGGCGCCAAGGATTGGGGGGCCCAGCACAGACCCAAGGAATTCGCGCGGGCCTCCGACAGTGGATGTTTTAATGTAGATGGTTGCTCCTCGAGTTGTTGCGTTTATCAGCTGCGTCCCGATACAAAACAAAAACAGGCACGCGCGTGCGAGAACACATATTGCACAAGCAGCGCGTGCACAGCAAGCGAGCAGAAGGGCGAAGGGGATGCGGGAACGTGGAGCAGCGAGGGCTCAACGACTTCTGCTGTCTGTCCGCGCTAGAGCTTCCACGATTTCTGCTCACTTATCCACGTCTCTTCCCTTCGCGCATCGCGTGGCTGGTAACGACTTATGCTGTCCCTCGACTTGCGCTAGAGTTTTCACAATTTCAACCAAAAGTATGTGGAGACCTCTGGGGGTTACAGCTCTATAGTATGGATGTACTTCGATTTGGCTGGCTTGATTCCCGCAGGTCGATTGGAGAAGAGTCGTCAGTCCCTCAGGGATAGGGGCAAGGTCGTGGTCGTGGCCGTGAATCCTCCTCTTTTCCGGCATGCCAGTGTAGTGAGCCCGTGGTGCCACCTCCTCCTCCCCCTCCCCCTCCCCCCTCCCCCTCCTCCTCCTCCCCTCCTCCTCCTCCTCCTCTCCTCCTCCTCCTCCTCCTCCTCCTCCTCCTCCTCCTGCTCCTCCTGCTCCTCCTCCTCCTCCACCTCCTCCTCCTCCTCCTCCTCCTCCTCCTCCTCCTCCTCCTGCTCCTCCTGCTCCTCCTGCTCCTCCTGCTCCTCCTCCTCCTCCCCCTCCTCCTCCACCTCCACCCTGTGCCGCCTCCGCCCTGCCTCCTCCTTCCTTCCACCGCTGCCCTTCAGGCGCGGCCCGTGCAGACCTGCGTGCCCGGCGGCTGCGGCCGCCTAGCCGCGAGGGCCGCGCCACGGCAGGGGGGACTGCACTGCGCCGTCTGCGGCTCGTTACAGGGCAGTTTTAATCATGGGATTTTTGAAAATATCGGATTTGCAATACAGGATTAATGTATGAATAAATTTATGCATGAGCTCGTCGTTGTTTTTAAGACTCGCTAAAGGCCCGCATTTCTTATACATGGTCCGCACGCGGAGCATGTATTAAGAACGGCACTGGCCTGGTGCCGAGCCCAGAGATCCACTCTCTTGCTTCTTCGATGCAAGGGTCCCGCGAAGCCCCGACCCGAGACGTCCTCTGACAGCCCTGGGGCCCGGGCGAGGGCGGGGCCTGGAACCAGCAGAGGACCGCTGAATCGTCCCCCGTGCATGCGCTGGAGGTCCGGGCATGGTGCCATCCATCCTCCTCCCTTCTCTATCGCTCGGACGTCCATTCCCCGTGCATTTTTCGATTTCGTGCGTGCTTTTTTCGCCAAATGATCAAAAATGCCCCTCAATGGTCCACGCCGAGAAAAAATGCACACGTCCGAGCGACGCCAAGTCCCTCCGCCCGAGGGGGGAGCGACAGGGCGGGGATGGGGACGCCGCCGCGCTCCTGGGCGGGCTTGAGCGCACAGGCCGCGGCCGGCGAGAGAGGGAGCCACATGGGGGTCGACACTCCCCCCCCCCCCCCGCGACCCTGCGATCCGACGCTGCGAACAGGAGATGCCACGTCGCGAAGCATCACGCCCGGAGCCCCAGACGCCACACTTCTCTGCGGCGTGCTGCTGGCCAGATCGATCCGTGGTGGCGGAGGAGGAGGGGGAGGAGGAGGAGGAGGAGGAGGAGGAGGAGGAGGAGGAGGAGGAGGAGGAGGAGGAGGAGGAGGAGGAGGAGGAGGAGGACCCCGGGGCCCCGACGCAGGGCCAAACAAGTCCGGCGCCCGGGTCTCCAGGCCCGAGCCGGGCCCTCCAGCGGCGCCCCCCTGACCTGCCTCGCGGCCAGTCCGCCCCCCGCGCCCCCCCTCGGGAGCGGCCGAGAGGGGGGGGTGCAAATCATGGCCGGCGGCATGTGCGCGGCCCAGCGCGGGGGCCAAGGACGTTTTGATGAAATAAGAACAGGCACCATGAAATCTGGGGAAATATCATGGCCCCCGCCATGATATCCACCCCCCCCCCTAGTCATCCTCCCCCTCCTTTCCGCCCCCGCCCCCCCTGTGGGCGCCTCTGATCCGAATGGTTTTCGGACCACACCTCGTCGGGGATCTGCTGACCCGGGTCAACCTTCTGACCCGGGTCAGTCTGGCCTGGCAGAATCCTGCAAGATCCTGCGCCCAAGCCTGGGTCAATATGAAGGATCCTGCAAGATCCTGCAGGATCCTGCGCCCAAGCCCGGGTCCATGCGACCCTGGCCCTGCAGGATCCTGCAAAATCGGGCGCTCTGGCTGACCCCCGCGCAGCTGTCGGAACGCATCCCGAGGAAGGGACCCCCCCCCTGGAACCGACGAAAACGCCCGAAAACCTCGAACTTCAAAATCCCCCTGAGCCTGATCGGGGTTCAACATCGACCCCTGGACCTCTCGGAGGAGGAGGAGGAGGAGGAGGAGGAGGGGGAGGAAAGGGAGGAGGAGGAGGAGGAGGAGGAGGAGGAGGAGGAGGAGGAGGAGGAGGAGAAGAAGGATACGGCACTGACTGGACACCGTCGCGCGGAGCACCGACGGCCACAGCAGAATGGGGCGAGCCCAAAAAAGGCTTCCCCGAGCTCGAAGGACGAGTCTCAACCCACCTGAGGATCACGGTTGAGCACTCCCGAGCCAGCGGGCCTGGCGGCGGCGGCGACGAAACAGCACAGCGGGCGGCGCGCGGGGGCGCGCCTGCTGTGGAGAAGAAGAGCAGGAGCCGCCGCGCGAGGTTCGCGGGGCGGCCGCGCGCACCGTCGCTCCGACCATCCGCCCCGCCAGGCCAAACTAAAAACAAGCGAATTGGCCGACCGGGAGTTTCCCAGGGGCCGAAGCGGCAGGATGCCGCCCAGAAAGAAAGCCCAAGGAGCCCCGAGACCAGAAACCAGAAACGGGCTCAACACAGGGAGCTCATCCAAGCCTTAGCCAAGTGACCTCGGGGTCGCTGGCAAGCAATGGACGAGAAACAGGTATTCGACGGCTGCTGGTAGCACCTTCATCGGCGGGGTGAAGCCCTTCCAAAAATAGCTTCCTGTTTCGCGCAGCCCTCTCCGATAACAATTGAGGGACTGTGCAATCCAGGAGCAGGTGGCCAGCAACGCCAGTAGTGTAAAAGCCACACTTAATGCAAAGAACAACCTGACCAGGGCTGACCCAACATCGGTGGCCACGCGCACACAAATGCCCAACAATACCTGACACGGGCAGCGGGCACGCGGGGACGGTCGACTCGGCCAACGCGGGCCTACCCATCTTCCGCCGTTTAGAATTTGGCTCCAGGATCTGCCTCTGAGCCAATGCCAGCTCATCGGCATCAGGAGCCAAAACACGCTGAATTGGGGCGAAAGTGACACGCGGCCTCACGCCCCTACCATCAGACGAGCCTGGGCGGGCCAGGAGGTCACCCGTTCTCTTAGTAGGGGCATCCTGAGAGACACTGGCTGAGCCCATGAGATCCTGGGAGGGGTCCGCCCTGGCCTGGTCACCAGCGACACACCCCTGCACTCGCGGGGGCCCCCTCGAACTCATGTCGAAAGACCTCGTCGCCAGGGCGCGGGCAAAACAGGTTATACGAGCTAAACGATCCCTCGATCTCTTGGCCTTGGCACCTTTCATGCAGAAATTGCACCTCCAAATGAGGCGATTCGGCACTTGCGAGAAGGCGTGAGCCAGGTGGGAGGGAGGAGGGGCGGGGTCAAATTCACTCTTGGCCTGCCTGGCCTGAGTGGGCTTCTTGCCCCGTCGCGGCACAGTTGTGACACGTCCGTGTGCCGCGAAGGCCAGCAGCGCTTCGACCTGCCATTTCGAAACCGACCGAACAGACTTCAGAGCAATCCGCATGGCCTTGACATGCCGTCGGGGAACCGAGTGCAAATCCCGCCCCCTGGTCGCCCCAAAATCGGCCCATCGGTTCCCCCGCGCCAAGACATCCATGCCTCGCTGGTGCCCTCGCACGCGACGAACTTCCAAACTATCCGAGAGGCCTCCTAAATCGCCGATTTTGGTCCAAATCAGATCCCAAAGATCAACATTAGGCCGAGAAGGATGTCTACACCAATCAGGCCCCCAAGTGAAGCCTTCAATCAAACCCTTAACATCTGAATAGACTAATATAGGCAATACAACTATCTGCAAAACTTGCAAGCAAGCATATAGCTCAGACCGCGGTGAGGACTGCGCAGGCCCAGGGAGAGCACCATATACTAGAAGATCAATCTTACCATCCTCCAGCTTAGCGAACCCCCATCCAGCTCGAGACGCTTCGGGCCAGTACCAGAACTTATTACATGCCCCATCTGTAAATATGACGCCACTAACCATATATGCTATACCGTATTTGACCATCCCCCTGCCCGAATTATCCTTTGGCGGCACTGGTGGAAAACAGCTGCGTGGGCATAATCCGCGATCCCACAACCATGACCCAACAACCTTGGGTGGAAGCCCTCTGTCATCTAAATCCGAGAGGTGACGTATCCTTTCACCGCTACTGCCAACACAATCCCACAATATATGATGGGTAGTGCAAGCCGTGGGCGGGCACGCCATACAGTCAGCGCGATCAACAGATCCACAAGCGTGAAGCCGAGACGGAGACCACATGCCACCAACTACGAAGGCGCGCAGCATCGCCGCCTCGTTAAACGAAGGGGCCCAGGGAGTCCTGCTAGAGTCCTGTGCCTCGTCGTCGTCTGATTCAGCACCTTCAACCTCGGATGAGTCGTCGAATTCGTCCCCCTTGTACCTTCTCAACAAGTCAACGATGGGTTCGATCCAGTACCCGAGGGGCTGCCTGGGGGCCATGCCAACGTCGTCAGCGGGGTTCCCTCGAGCTGCCCAGGACTCCCAAAGCCTCCTGAGCGCAGCAGCCTGACCTAAGTCACGAACCGTGGACGGCGCAGAAGTCCTGAGGTCCAAGATGTCCCCGATGTCGGTCTTCCAGACAAAAGCTGAACTGGAGGTCCATTTCAAGGCCTTTAAGGATAGAAGCATAGCCCCAGCAGGACCCGAGACATGTTTCCAGGGATGAGTGGCCAAGTATACCTTCTGGATCTGCGCCTTCCAGGCCCTCTGGAGCTCGTCGTGAGTCACCACGACGTCCCGACAAAGCACAGCCCACTGTACAAGAGGGGCCGTCCACGCCTGGACCTGTGGGTCGGACAGCACTGTGCCTTGAAGGCAACTCGTCAACCAGGCCGAAGTGGTCGACCCAGGAGAATACCAGCACAAGCGAAGCACAGAGCGCATCTTGGCCACCAACTGTGGCGGCGCTCCATGTACTCCAAATCCATATCCCATAGCACTGGGTAATGCCTGTCGGACAAACTTGCAGACGATGGGTCCCGCTTTCCGAACTTCCGAAAGCCTTTGAACTCGTTTCGAGGCGACCGAGACGCGTTCACGAAGCCGACGGTACCGAAGGGGCCTCCCTGAGGCCACCTCGATCCCAAGAACCTCTAAGGCACTCCGATAGGCATAACCATTTTTTTGCAGCCGTGCCGCCACCCGCCGAGCCACTTCAGGTATGCTGGACGAAATACTCATCGTGTTCCTGGCTGGTGGTAAGCCCAACTGCGCGAGCAAGCGAGCCAGTATTCGTAAGACTCTGCCAGCCGATATAACTATACTGCGCAATGAACATATAATGGATACCGTGATGTCGTCAGCGTGCACATGCAGCGAGCGCGAAATGTGTGATGTGTGTGCATACAACGAGTCGAACGGCGTGAGCATGACGCACTGCAAGCAAAACATGGCGAAGGCACATCCTGGCAGCACGCCCTGTCTTGCATGAACCTGCGTCGAAAAACAGCCATCCCAGGAAAACCTCCTAACACTCATGTGCATCCTGATGGCCAAAACCATGAGTTGTCCAGGAAAACCATGTGCTCGTCCCGCTGCTATCAGGAGTGCCCAGGAAATTCTGTCAAAGCATTTCTCGATGTCCACAATGCTGTGAACACTGACTCGGGTGTCCCCAGCGAGCGAGCCTCCAGCCTCACTCTGAACCAGGATACGAGCGGCCACATCTGTAGTCGACTTCTGAGCTCCAAGGGCTATCCAGGGTCGATTTAATTGGCTGGCCCACTTTCTCACAAAATCCCCCCGTGCTTTTGCCCATATCCGATATATGGAGGTGAGTAGGGCAATGGGGCGATACCCTCCTGAAGGTTTGGACAATAAAACGATGTGCACCCTCGATAGCAGCTGTGGCCACAAGCCCCAGGTCTCGCAGAGGAACAGCATGTATCCAAGCACGGAAAGGGCGCCATTCGACGGACCCAGCCGGGGCCACGGGGGCGCCCCGGACGGTCGAGGACCCTCAGCGAGCGAGCCTCGGACCTGGAAGCCTGAAGCTCGACGTCAGAACAAAAACTCTAACCTGGACTTGAGCAGGGACCGACCATCCCGGCACTCCTATAGGCCTACCACGACATGTTCTCAGGACCCCCAGATGCTCTAAGAACAAGATCGGTGCTCTGAAACCAGACGCCCGAGGTGTGAAGACGAGGCAGCCCCGGCCACGAGCATGTTCCAAGAGCATCTCGCCCAGACCACACAAGGCTCTCTTAGAACATTGCTTTGGTGGGCGGGTAGTAAGGCCAGGACGCTTCGCCACTGCTTGATAGACGCCCCTGGCCCGCCTCTAGAGGCCTCCTAGATGGGGTCGGAGTAGATGGGGTCGGAGGATCGCGCCGCATCGCCGATACATCGGCGATGCATCGGCGATGTATGGGCGATGCATCGGCGATGCACTGGCGATGCATCGCCGACGTGGGCGATTCATCGGCGACGTCGACGTGAAGCAGATCTGGCTCCACATCGAGCCGCATCGCCGATGCATCGCCGATGCGGCGCCATCCACCGACCCCATCTGCTCGGACCCCATCTGGGAGGCCTAGAGCCTCCCGGCCGCGTGCCTCGCCACCGCCCGGCGGGCCCCGCGGCCGCTTCGCCGAGGCCCCGCAGCTGGCCGCCACCACCGTCGTCAGGCCCGCGTCGCGCACCTCCGCGCGCGCGGGGGCTGGCCCCTCCCCGGGCCTCCTCGACAGGGCGCTACCTAAGCAGTGTTTTTCGGGTTCGTCATCTCCTCCTCCTCCTCCTCCTCCTCCTCCTCCTCCTCCTCCTCCTCGTTTTCCCTCGTTCTGTTTTCAATCCGCTTTTGCCGCAAAACGACGTCGAAACGAAGACGGCCCACGAAATCGCCAAAACACCGCTGCGGTCCACCCCTGCTTCTCGAGTCATGGGCAAAATCACGGCGCACCAGACCCTCTTGGCGGCGCGCAGAGGGGGGCAAAGGGGGATGGGGGGAAGGCTTCTCAGAAGGACGCTGCTTCTTAGAAGGCGCGGGCCTTACCATAAGTGTAAGGCCCAGGCCTCCTGAGGAGCAGGGGTGCTTCTAAGAAGCCTTCCCCCCTCCTGCCCCTACACCCCTTCTGCGCGTGGCCGACCCCGTCGAGTCATGAACACAAGCATGGCGGAAGGTTTTTCGCTATTTTCAGCGTCTAGGCAATGGGCCGAGGCCTGTGGTCGGGTGTTGCCAAAAGTGCTGCCCCTGGCCCAAGGTGCCCCCAGGATTCCCAAGGAGGCCCCCGCGGCGTCAAGACCACCCCTCACGACGAGGCCCAGGGGGCCCAGGGGCTCCAAGCTCGAGCGAAAAGCTGGGGACCCCTTGGGCCAGGGGCGTCTTTGTTGGCGGCGCGCACACGGGGGTGGAGGTATGTGGGGAGGGCTTCTTAGAGAGAGGCTGCTTCCTAGAAGGCGCCAGCCTTACATCTGTAGATGTCCAGCTCCCCTGGGCCACCCCCCCTTGGGGGCCTTCCTCCGTCCAGGCTTTCCAGGGCAGCCCCCCTGGGCCGCGGAATCCTTTATTTTGGTGGTGGTTTGTGGTGGTTCGTCCCTCTGGGCCCCCCCCTGGGCCGCGGACATCTTCATTTTCGTCGTGGTTCATGGTTTGTCGTGGTTCGTCCCTCTCGGCGTCTCCCCTGAGCCTGAGCCCCAGTCCCCCTGGGCCACCCCCTCTTGGGACCCCCCCACCGCCCAGGCTTCCCAGGGCAGCCCCCCTGGGCCGCGGAACCTTTTACTTTGGTTCGTCCCCCTTGGCCCCCCCCCCTGAGCCTGAGCCCCAGCTCCCCTGAGCCACCCACCCTTGGGAGCCGTCCTCCGTCCAGGCTTCCAATGGCAGCCCCCCTGGGCCTCGGAACCCTATATTTTCGTCGTGGTTCGTGGTGGTTCGTCCCCCTCGACCCCCCCCCCCTGAGCCTGAGCCCCAGCTCCCCTGGGCCACCCCCCCTTGGGGGCCTTCCTCCGTTCAGGCTTCCCAGGGCACCCCCCCTGGGCCGCGGAACCCTTTCTTTTGGTAGTGGTTTGTGGTGGTTCGTCCCTCCTTTGTGCAAGAGCCAGGGCACGCGTGCCACTTGTTCGTCGCCACCACTGCACCCAAGCTCCCCCCACCCGCCCCCCACCCATGCCGTCCCCTCCGCAGCGCCGCCGCCGCGTGCCGCCGCCGCACCCAGGTCCTCGCACTCCCACGTCCGAACCTCCAGACAAGACTTGAGATTTGAGGACGGAGGCCCCGCTCCAGGAGAGGCGAGCGCCACAGGCCGCATCCCTTTGTCCCTCCCCGCTCGAGGTGCATCGTCCTTCTTTTCTGCCGTTCTGTCGCTCCTTCCTTGCTCTCTGTGCCCCTGGGTGTTTGCTGCCTCTCCCACCGGCGCTCTGGTGGGAGGGGTTCGAGGGCCGCGTGCGTTCACAACTCGAAGCTCGAAGGAGGTCCCCACTCGTCCTCCTCCACCTCCTCCTCCACCTCCTCCTCCTCCTCGTCCTCGTCATCCTCCTATTCGTCGTCGTCGTCGTCCTCCTCCTCCTCCTCCTCCTCCCTCCCTCCCTCCTGAAGAAACCAAGAATATTTTGATACCTCCACTCCCCGGACCTTTCCCAAGGTGCGCTCCCTCCAGAATTTCGAGGCACATCCAGCGTTCGCGACGCGTGCCTCCAGGCAGGCCCCAACAGGCGAACACGAGGGAAGAGGAGCGGTATGGGTGCCTTTTCCTCTTTCTCTTCCTCCTCCTCCTCCTCCTCTTTCTCCTCCTCCCCCTCCCCCTCCTCCTCCCCCTCCCCCCCCCCTCCCCCTCCCCTCCCCCCCCTCCTCCTCTCCCTCCTCCTCCTCCTCCTCCTTTTCCTTTTCCTTTCTTTTTTTTTCTCTTCCTCCTCCTCCTCCTCCTCCTCCTCCTCCTCGAACGGATCGGGGTCGGGGTCGGGCGGGGTGGGGGGGGGGGCGGCCTGCAGCGCGGCCGCGGGCGCCACCCCGCCCCGAGGCGCCGCCTGGGGCGGACGAGGGCCGCTCCCGCCAAGAGAGGGAGGCGCGACTGGGAAGAGCTCTATCCATGAGTACCTGGGATCGAGGAGGAGGAGGAAGAGGAGGAGGAAGAAAAGTAGGAGGAGGAGGAGGAGGAGGAGGAGGAGGAGGAGGAGGAGGAGGAGCATGAGGAGGAGGAGGAGGAGGAGGAGGAGGAGGAGGAGGAGGATTTTTACCGCTACGCTGCTCTCCACGGCATCCCGCAGTCGGCCTGGCAATGGGCGCCAGGCGGCCGTCGAGCACGGCCCTTAAATGGCACAGACAAGTCGTACATGCCATGAAACCTTATATCAGGGCCACGCCCCCACGCCACGAGAACGGGAGGCTGGGCCAGACACAGGCCTAGGTGGTATTAAGGAGACGAACCACACTGTTAGCATCCGCATCAAGCCAGACGTCCGAGAGCTTGGGGTGCTTGCCAGCCGAAATTCTGTCCCAATAATATTTGGAACACCTAAAATTGTGTGGCCTACCTGGGCATGGTTTAGCCAGGTAGCGCACGTAATTGCCAGTGGAAAACGCTTTACAACGGACACAAACACAGACAATGCCGCCGTCCGAACACGCTAAACCCAGACAATTATGCTCCAGCTGCTGGAGGACGTCATACTGGAGCTTATGCTTCTTCGAGCAACTCGAATTATTCCCCGGGAAAACCCCGCGGCACACCGCGAGGCAAAGATTACACTGCCAGAAGGTTCCCACCTTCTTCCAGAGATGAGGCACTATGATTGGCACTGGCTTCGGTTCGACGGGCGCACGAGTGGCCAAAGACAAGTCGAGCGGAGGCCAGAGAGGCAAAATACGGGCAGCCAGAACAAAAACCTTGCGAACGACCGACAAACATTTCTCAAGCCAATCTAGCTGCTCGGGGCTCGGCTTCTCGTGAGCTAGGGCCCCAAGCTTAGCATAGTGGTCGGCTAGGTCATTACCAGTCTTACAGAACTTCAGATAGGCATCGTTACCCACCTGCTCGTCCGTCATGTGGCCTTTCACTTTGTGGATGGGCCCCATTTGACTGTCTGCGGTCCAAACAAACATGCCCGAGTGCACTCGCTTGTACGACAAGTGTTCACTACGGGGGAGGGCCCAGAGGGCCACAACATTCTGGCAATCGCTATAACCCACAGCTGGAGTGACCGCATTTTGGCAAGCAGCAGTGCAGGCAGCAAATTCACCAGCCTGAGCCGTTTGGGGAATGGGGTAAGGGAGGGGGGCATAGACATGACCCAGTTCCTGCCCAGAATCGGAAACCGAGACATAACTCCACCCCGTTCTCGATAATTCTCTTACGACCGAACGTATGCAAGATCCATCCATGAAGATATTCCCCGAAACAGTATAATCGTCTTTCCCAGGATCATCAAATTGCTGATATACAGGCTCGCACTTCGACGGGGGAGGGAAGAAGTCACCAGGGTGGGTAAACAAACCCAACGTGTACATTATCTTGTCAGCATCCGACAACGAGTCGTACTCCATCGGCCGAAACTGGAACCCATCTCCGAGGATGTCATCTCGGGCCTGGGCGACCGACTCGTGCTGGCAACACCGCAGCCTGTGGAAAATGGTGTCCCTTGCCACTTCGCACAGCGGGCACGACGTGTCAGGCATGATGTAGCCGTGGTCCTCGGCTCGCGCCTTGGTCCAGGGCGCCTGGCAGACAAGACCTCTTATGCGCCCTTTCTCGAAGGGAGTGAATTTTGAAGAACTCATGGCCGCAAAGGCCACGTCGAAACACACGCGACGATCCAGGCCCAGGGACCGCCCATACTCACGTTCCAGATTCCTCAAAACAGCAGCACGGAGGAGACGTTTCAGGAGGCAAGGCGAAACCAGGGCAAGGGAGACTTCCGCCCCCAGGTCGTCGACCAACATGCTGAAACTAGGCATCTTCCACCCAATACGCTCCACCGAGAGCCGCAGGGCCCCCCACAGGACCGCGCACACGACGCCACGGCTGAAGAGGCCCCGAGAAACCCGCAGCCCAGGCACCGCGGAGCTCGGCCAAGCTGAGGCCGAACTGGTAGGCCCCCACCAGGCAGGCCCAGACCTCCTTAGACCACCTCACAATGGGCGCGACGGACACGTACCAGGTGGGGTCGGCGGCAAACAGCAAAGCTGCCGTGAGAGATCTCCCTCCAGCGGAGGGTTGCAAGAAACGGCCCATGGCTCTCCGCAGGGTGAAAAGCTCATGGTCCGAGGTGCCGTGCACCTCGCAACCGTAGGTTCGGCTGGCAAGGGGCCCTGTCGTGAAAACCCGACGCGAGTGTCGACCGATGGTTCTCTTATGTCGAGCCAAACGAGCAACCTTGGCCGAAAACAGGGTTTTACGAACTTTAAACCTTCCACCACGACGAGCGACACGACGGGGCCTGCCAGCAGCATCGTCGATGCCGAGGTTGACAGCGGAGTCACACGGCGCTCCGCCCACCGTCCCAAGACCTTGGCGCACGGCCTTAGCAACTGCAGAATGAGAGGCGAGCACTGCCGCCTTCTTGACAGCGATCGCGCAGCCAAGATCGCCCTCGATGACAACCTGCAATTTAATGGCCCCCTCCAGGAGGTCATTAACGACCGTCGAGGCGGTCCCTTGGCAAGACAGGGTGTAATCATCGATATATATCTTCAACGAGACCGATCTTGGCAAGCTAAGCCCGTCTAAGGCGGCTATGCTGAAGACGCGGATTAAAGTGGTCGCGAAGCCACAGCCTGCCACAAGTCCTCGCCATGCGAACTTGGGCCCGATGACCCTGCTGTTCATGGCGATGTAGCGGCAGGCGCGATAAGCAACATCACAAACTCTCGCAATCTGCATGGGGAAACCGTGCTGACGGCAACGCTGCAATAACAGATCCAAGGCGACCGACTCATAAAACTTGAGAAGGTCCCAGAGCACCGAACTGGAACATAAATCGGACGAAACAGCTTTCTCACTTCGAACGCATTGCCGCCAGACAGTGTCCACGCTCGATGCAAAAGAGCCCGCGGCGAAGAAGTCCCTGCCGTTAGCCGCTTCCCACCTGCGAGCATACTCACGACGAGCGCGGGCCCAAAGACGATAAACTGACGCGAATAATCCTATCGGTCTGTGCCCTCCGTCTGGCTTGGCAAGCATGATGCGCAGCAGAACGCGCATCTGCATTGGCAAGTGCCCTGACTTCTCGAACGTGGCGATGAGGCGGGAGAGGGCGACAAGGGCCTGATCCGAGGGGTGCTGGAAGTGGCTAACATGGAAACCGTCGACCGAGGTGGCCGTGTGCTTCGGGAAAGACCTAGAGACACGGCGAAGGTCAGCTGGGGTCAACTCGGGCAGGGGTTCGAGCGCCTCGAACCTGGCACCAGTCGACGGGGAAACCTGCTGGTCTTCGGCATGCCACAGATCAGAAAACTTAGCACATTCAGACTCAAGGAGGGCCTGTGGGTCCGAAACAACTTCACCTTTGACGCTGAGGGTAGTGGTGGGGGTCCAAGCTGGGGCCCCTCGAACAACCCCATGGGCGTGCCGAGCTCCAGACTCAATATTGGTCTTAAGCCAAGACACCCACTTACGGTTCTCAGCATTACGATGTTCACTCTCAGCCACAGCTTGGGCCTGGGAGACCGCATCCAGGGCATACTCGGGTTCCCCATAGACGACGGGCTGACCAGGTGGGCTGTGGGTGACGACATCCCTGCAACGCTGAAGCAGCGCGGCCGCGTGGCCGCTCCACTCTCCCAGCCTGACAGGGGGATTGAAAGGCTCAGCAGCCGTGGCACAAAGATGGCTGCTGCGTGCCGAGCTGTGCTCGGCGCGTCCTGACACTGGTTTTTTTCGATTAAACTGCTACGAGCAAACCGCGGGGGGGAGAGGGGCTCGGGCGCAGCCGTCGACGCTCCTAAGGCGTACAACTGCAACCAAAGCCGAAAACGATTGCTGAGCCAGCGGAGCTGCGAGGCCAACTGCGACGTCGACGAAACACCTTCCATCGAGGCCGTGCCCGGCTGCAGCACGCTGACCCAGTGCAGCTCCGCTTGGCGACCACGACTACCGTGGTGCGAGAGACGGCACTGCAATATCCCTTCGAGCTCCTTTTCAGCCGTGTTGGCCCAATGTTTGTAGATGGTGTCCAGATGATACTGGGTCACATCAGTCTCCCCACTCTCAGCCACCACCAGGGCTCGCGAGGCCAGCCGATCCAAAACTCCCCACTCGGAAGGGGGCTCGGGGCACGGCCCCGCGGGCCTGCTGGTGGGCAAGGGTGGGGGACGTCGGAAGGTCAAAGCCTTGAGAGACGCGAGGGAGGGGTGGAAGGTGAGGGAGACAGGGTCATGCGTCGCTAACTCCGAATCACTCGCTACCTTCACGCCCTTGATCGCCTGCGCAAGGCGGGGACAACAGAGGAAGAAATCGAACATCTTCACGCCCCCAGTGCCACGACAGGTGCCTAAAGCTCCAGGGGGGGGCACAATGTCAGCTCCCATCCTTCTGTGAATAGACGAGCCTGCTAACACGGCGGGCTCCACGTTGAAGTCAGCTCCGACAACGAACGGCACAGTAATGCTCTTTGCTCGCGCCGCCACTCCAGCAATAATATCCTGATTGAAATCGCTAAGTCCAACACAATCCTGCAGGTAGACACTAACAATGTAGAAAGAGGCCTGACCTGGGAGGTGGACGAGCGCTCCGAGGGCCCTGTGGGGCCGAATCGTGGGACCCAAATCGGGGCGGTGCAACCCAAGGGAGGACCTGACCAGGACCCCGACCCCAGCCGAGGGGCCTCCCCCAGGCCCCAAGGTTCCAGGTTCGAAGCTGGCTTTCCACCCGTTTCGCACACACCAGGCCGAAGCCTTCCTGATGTCCTCAGCGCTAATGAGCTTGTGCTCCTGGACGAGCACGATGTGGGCAGAGGTGATGCCCAAGAACTGTTTGAGCGAGCTCCAACCCGTGCCGTTAGCCGTCACTATCTCCAGTTCAATAGACTCCTGAGCAGCAACAAAATCTCCTTGGTCCCAAGGTCGATGCATACACGAGTTTCGCGGGGCATCCAAAACTGGGCAGGAGGTGGGGAGTCTAGGGTAGAAGAAGGGTGATGGCACGGCACAGGTCTGGCTAGGAACGAGCCGCGCCCTTGGCTGGGGGGCCCGCTGGTGGCGGCGCCTTCCCGTCTGGGACAGCGGGGGGCGCCTTGGACGGCGCCCTGCTGATAGCCTCACGAGCCCGTGCACGGACAGAGGCACCAGGCTTAGAAGGCGGGGCACCAGGGGCGACAGGCGGCGCTGGGGTGGCCTTGCTTCCAGCAGCAGAGGCCGACGCTCCCGATGCCTCAGAGGCGGCGGCGGCCGCGGCACCTCCTGCAGGTACACCCGCAGCAGCAGGTTCGGCATCCGTCTTCCGCTTCTTCTCGAGCCGCTTGGCCTGCTCCTGGTGGTTCTTCTTGAGCTCAACGCACTTCGACTGAACCTCCCCGAACAGGGCCGCCGTGAGACTCTTGATGCTCTCCGACAGCTGCTCCTTCCGAGACTGGGCTTCACGCAGATCTTCTGGCGTGACGTCCTGATACTCCGCCAATCCGAACATGTCACCATCGTCCAGCACGAGCGAGGACACCTTGCCATCCAGGATGTCCTGCAGGCGCAACACTGGGGCGGCTGGGCCCTCCTGTGGCTGCGACGGATGGAGCGTGACCGACAGGTGCAACTCTGAGATGGCCGACTTGTATTCTTCATCGTAGCGCTCCAGCTCCTGCAGCGTGGCCTCCAGGTCTGCGCGCTGCTGAGCCAGCTTCCGCTCGAGGCCGTGGACGTGGTCCAGGTCGCGATCCAGCTTCTTCTCGAGCCTCTGGATCTCCTTGAAAGCCGCATCTGCCCGTTGCTGCGGGGGCAGAGGGGCTTGTTCCAACTGGGCCACCTTCTCTTGCGCCAAGGAGAGCAGGGAGGCGTCCCCCACCTTGGCGCTGAGCTCCACCAGCTGCTGCAACTCCGTCTTGGTCGCAGTCGGGACGGTGGCAGGCCGCACGGGCGGAGTCTTCCCCGACACTGCGTCTGCTGCAGCACGACGGACCTCAGCAGCAGCCGCTCCACGGGGAACTCCTCCTCCTCTGGCCTGCCCGTCTCCTGGCACGGGCTCAGTCCACTTCTTGCCGCAGTGCTTGCACCACAAGTAGTGACCCATGTTCTTGCGGCAGCCGCAGTGCCCGCAAGTCCACTTCTTGGTTGCGTCGTAACCGCTACGAGGCTTGCCACCAAAAGCCATCGCAGCGCCGCCGTGAGGGAAAGGGGGGTCCGAGCCACTCTGGCCCGCGAACACCCAGCCGTTCTGAAGATCGGTGATCGCATGCACAAAAATGGATTGTGCCAGAACGGCTAGGAGGAGGAGGAGGAGGAGGAGGAGGAGGAGGAGGAGGAGGAGGAGAGGAGGAGGAGGAGGAGGACGGTTTGGGGGCGCCCGATCCCCCCTCCTCCTCCTCCTCCTCCTCCTCCTCCTCCCTCCTCCTCCTCCTCCCTCCTCCTCCTCCCTCCTCCTCCTCCCCACTCCTCCTCGCCACTCCTCCTCGCCACTCCTCCTCCTGCTCCTCCTCCTCCTGCTCCTCCTCCTCCTGCTCCTCCTCCTCCTCCTCCTGCTCCTCCTTCTCCTCCTCCTGCTCCTCCTCCTCCTCCTGCTCCTCCTCCTCCTCAACCTCCGCCTCCCCCCCCTCCGGAGCCCAATCTGGTCGATACGGGGGGGGGGGTCCCCTGAGGACCGGGCGAACGCGTCACGGGGTGCAGAGGGGCCTAAAACATGGCAAGGGGGCACCAAGAGGCCCTCTGGACGGTCCAAGAGGCACGAGCCGCCGAAAGGTCGATCGAAAACGCCCACGTTGGCCTCCAGACGACCCAAAATGCCCCCCCCCTCCCCAAGGCGACTCCCAAAGCTCTCAACAGGCGTCCCAAGACGGCCCCAAAGAACAAAGATCGCTCCATTCCCATAGGACAACTTACATGTTGATCACATGTGCCTCTCCTGCGATCACAACATCCAAGACAGCCCAAGAAACCTCCTCGGTCGCCCCAAGACGGCCAAAAAGCCCCCCCAGAGGGCTCTCAGACGACCAAAACGGGGAGACAGAGGGCCCCCAAACAGGCCAAGAGGGCACCAAGAGGCCCTCTGGGTCCAAGAGGGCCACGGGCCGCCGAAAGATCAATCGAAAACGCCCACGCTGGCCTTCGAACTGCCAAAGAGGCCCCCAAGACGCCCCAAGAAAGGGGCGGCAACACGCCCCATTTCCATAGGAACACCTAACATTTGGCACATTCGCCAGTCCTGCGATCACGACATCCAAGACAGCCCAAAAAGCCTCCTGGGTCACCCCACCGCGGCCCAAGAGGCCCGCAAGAAGGCTCTCAGACGACCCAGCAGAGCCCAACAACCGCTCAAACAAAAACCCACGACGGCCCAGGAAGGCCCCGCGACAACCCCAAGAGGGGGTCCAGAGGGAGAACCCACACGGATATTTCGAGCCTTCCACCCCGAACCGCCGCCCGGTTGTCCCAAGAGACCCTCGGCAGACTCCCATGGAGCTCGGCGAGGCCCCAAAAAACTGCCCAGAGGCAGCTAGGAACCCCCCAAGAGGTTCAAACACTGTTTCCAAAACGCCCCCGAGACACCTCCCACGAGACCCCGTCCGACATCCGCGAGGCCTCCGACCCGCAGCCCAGGCGCGGTGGTGGGATGTGCCGAAGGCTAATCGATAATCGTCTTTCTGGAAATTTAACGTATGCCCGCCGTGAGTACACGTGGGTTCTCGAAGTTCCCCTGTGCGCGCACGGCAAGCATTGAACATGCCAGCCGCAGAAGTAATTGCTGCCGATGCGGGCTGTGTCGCCATTGCCGTGGGCCCGGGGGCATCTTTGGCCAGCTCGCGACAGGTTGTCCAAGAGGGTCCCGACACGCCCCACAGCTCGCTCCGAGACCTACACGACGGCTCCAAAACGTCTTTTGACAGATGCCCGCCGAATTGACACGTGGGTTCTCCCCTGTCTCCCCTCGCCTCATCTCGCGCACCACATTCTGTAGCAAAGGACTCGCGCTCCGCGCCGCAACGCGCTTTCTTTCCCCCGCACATCGTCCTGCCGCAGCCGAAGACCTCGTGCTCCGCGCCACAACCGACCCTTCAAGCACACACACACGCACGCCCCGCCGCGCCAGAGAGGAAGCCGAGCCCGCACCTCGAGCCCTCTGCCCCCCGAGACCCGTGAGGACCCCCCGCGAAGCTCCAAGAGGCCCCCCATGGGCACCCCACGAAGCGCCAAAGAAGGCACCAAACAATATTTGGTCTGCGGGGCGAGAGCGAACCTCTTCCGCTGGAAGCTAAGCGGGATGCGCACAGCTTTAATTAGTAGAGAAAGGGCGGAAAGAAGACACCAAACAAGCCCCCCACAGGCGCGCAAGAGGCTTTCGGGAGCAGCCCACCACGACTACCAGTTCCCCCCCAAAGGGGTCGGCGGTGTGGCGTAAGCTCCAGAATCAATGATTGTCAATGTGTGGGTTTCGATGTTTTTCAAATTGCCACCTTTTTACGCTCCAATAAAGCCCCAGGGGCCCCCAAGACAAGCCCAAGACGGCCTAAGAGGCCCCCAAGAGGGCCCCTAGACGGCCCAAGAAAGCCCCAAAGACGGTCCAAGAGGCGCCCAAATCAGCCTAAACGAGCCCTCAAGCGGCCCCAAGGGGGGCCCAAGAGGGGGAGCACGAACCGACAATTCCAGCCTTCCGCTCGAAGAGGCCCCCAGGAGACCCCAAGGGGTCTCTAAGGAGCCCCAAGAGGTCCTCAAGAGGCCTCCAAGAGGACGCCAGACGGCCCCCAAGAGTCTTCGAAGCTGCTTCCAACAAGCCTCCGAGAGGGCTCCCAGAGAGAGAGAGAGAGAGAGAGAGAAAAAGAGAGAGAGAGAGAGAAATTAAGAAAGAAACAGAGAAAGAGAGAGAGAGAGAAAGCAAACAAAGAGAGCGAGGAGGAGAACGAAATGGGGAGTAAGAGCGCTGAGCAATAACAGATCTCGAACCTAGAGGCCACGATCTTCGTGAGGGGAGCGCCGACTTGGGCGCGGCCTGGCGGCGGCGATGGCGGCGGAGGGGGATGATGATGATGATGATGATGATGATGATGATGATGATGATGATGATGATGATGATGATGATGATGATAATGATGATGATGAGGGAATCAGGAGGAAGAGGAAATCATGAGGATGAAGAAATCAGGAGGAGGAGGAACGAGGCGGGCGAGACGCGCGACGCTGCGGAGTCAAAGCGAGAACACGCGACAACACGGGAGGGTTGTGGAAAACGCAGGCCACGAGACGTCCGAGCACATCGAGTTCGATCGACGTTTTCAGGCATATAACTTGTAGTGCCTGAATGCATGCATCGATGTACGTATGTAAGTACCCATGCATGTACGTACGCATGTGCACGTGTACACTTGCCTGTCTATTCAAGCGCATCTGTACTTCTCTTGAGAGAGGGGGAACAGAGAGGGAGAGATAGCGATATATATATATATATATATATATATATATCTTTCCATATATATATATATATATATATATATATATATATCCCGATTCATGTATATATACATTTATGTATATGTACACACGTGGAACAACAAACAATCTATGGATTTGTTTTATATATATAAGAGAGAAAGAGAGAGAGAGAGAGAGAGATAACGAACAGACAACAACTTGCCTCGAGGCAGGCTGGGCGGGGGCGGCCGGCGCGCGGGCGGCGCCTCGGGCGCCCCGCCCGCGCCCCGCCTGCGCCTGCCCTGCTGCTGCTGCTGCCCGACCAGCCTCTCCAGCAGCGCCGCCGGCGCCCCCCCTCTTGTGGGGGCGCGCTCTGCGGCGCTCTGCGGCGCTCTGCGGGGGGGGGGGCGGCGGACCCCTGCAGCGAGGACCGCGGCGGCGAGCCTGCCTTCCTCCTCCTCCTCCTCCTCCTCCCTCCCTCCGAGCTCCTCCTCCTCCTCCTCCTCCTCCTCCTCCTCCTCCTCCTCCTCCTCCTCCTCCTCCTCCTCCTCCTCCTCCTCCGCTAGTGGTTTCCGGCGGCGTCGGACCTGCAGCGTGGACCGGGGAAGGCACACAATCGCCGCCGCTCGGGCGGCCACTCCCCGTGTCACGCTTCGGTGCCGTGCGTGTTGGACGGCCCCCGTTT